TGTTGACTAATCCTCAAGGCTCGTCACTTCTATGTCTCACTTCAGGATAACTTTGAGCTATTGATTTGCCACATAAGTGTTCTTCAAAAAAAAGTTACTATGATTAAAATTACGAGCCCATTTGGTAGCACGAAAATCGGTTGATTTGGCTGATTCTGCTGAAATTTATGAAGTTCTTGCTGAAGTGGCAGCATTGGCTGATTCTGCTAATTTAAGAAAAAATTATTTTTAAAATATAATTATTTAATAAAATAAAGAAAAAATTATATGTAAAAATAGTTAAAATGGTCATCTACAATAAATTTAACCAATACAACCAGAAAAATAACTCTAACCTTACTTTTTCACTTATTATACTCCGTACAATTCAGCACGCCTAAACAAAAGTAACGTGTTTGATCACTATACTAATGAGATTACAATTTTATCTTACTTTAAAGAATTTCATTATTTAGAATAAAAAGTTAATTTAATAGGCACTAGACTTACTACTCACGAACAAGAACATTAATATTGTCACCGTCCATTTCATACCTTTTTTTATCAAATTTTAAAGAATTGAGTTCTTTAGGAAACCGGTTAAGATATTATCTCACAGCCTCCACTAAATTTAAGTAACAAACCAATATGCTGAATCATTATTCCTCCAATTAAGTTACGTAATTTATTAAAATGGGACACAAGATACACAAATAGACGTGAAGTGACACTTTGGCCTGCCACCACTCACAACCCATCATCTCATCACATAACCACCAACTGAATTACGAATATTATTATCTTTCTTTTTTTGTTTGGTTAAAGCTAAAATCTCATTCAGATTTGCACTATCATTGCGCATATTTAATATTAATTCTTTTTCAGTATGCTGCTTCACTAGTTTTCTTCCTCTTCAATTTCCGAATTGGAATAATACCAAACGCAAACCTGATAAATATGACACGTGGTATAATGGAACTTGTCAAAATTTATTACTCCCTCCGTCCCGCTATGATTGTCCCGTTTTACCTTTTCGGGAAGTCCCACTTAAATTGTCTCATACCTTATTTGGTAAAGTTTGTGTGGTTCTAAATCATTCCTACTTTATTCTTACTTTATCAATTCATTATCAACCACATAAACCCACCTTTATTAATAATCGTGTCACCTTCTCTTGTCCCAAACATAGGGGGACGGAGGTAGTACTAATTTAAACTTTAAAGAGCGTATTTTAAAATATTGAAATTTGAAACTGACTTAATTTGCTAAAATTGATGCGATTCTTGTTGAATTGACTAAATTTGCTTGATTATAATTAAGAAAACTTCATGAATAAAACACCTCTTTATACGAAAGAATAAAAAAAGTTATATGAGAAATTGTTAAAATTCTCTCTTCTATGGTAACTTTAGTTGTCAATATAGTCAAAAGAGTAACTATAATCTTACTTATTTTGATTATTACACAATTTAACGTACGAAATAAAAAACTACTCCGTACTAAATAAAAGTTATAAAGCTAGCTCTAAAATAAATTAAAGCTAGCTAAGTTAAAGTCGATTGATAAAGCTGATAAGTTAAAAATAAAAGTTATAAAGCTAGTTCTAAAATTACTTCATACACTTGGATAATAAAAATAATGAGGGAGAATTAATATTTTAGTTCTGTAACTTTTGGTTGTTATCGTTATTGGTCATGTTAATTTAACTACTTGCAAGTTTGATCCTGTAACTAATACTCCCTCCGTCCCCAAAAGAAGTTCCTCATTTGACTTTCACACACTTTTATGCAAGTAAACTTACCAGGGGGTAAATTTTACTATTTTGACACTGTTTCGACACTGTTTGACACTGTTTTGCACTGTTTTGTTGTAGAAGATAACTTTCCATTTAAGGAAATGAGAATTAAATTAGGGACATCCAAATAAGGAAAGTGGGAACTTCTTTCGGAGACGGAGGGAGTAATTTTTTGCAACCTAAGGACTTTTCTACCGGAACGTACACTTAATTTCCGGCAGAAAAATCCGACGCCGGCGACATCTTTTTCGGTATACTATCACCGGAAAGTGTACTTTTTAGGGGAACAAAGTAAGAATGAGTTAAAGCCATACTAGTATTACTAAATATGATATGAGACAAATTTAGTGAGACAGATGAAAACGGGAAAATGAGACAATTTTAATGGGACGTAGGGTGTACCAAGTATGTAGGTTAATTATGATGAGTAGGGTGTATTAATCTATTTTTATGTATTTTGTACATTTATTTGATCTTTATATGTACTTTGTATCAATTAAGTTGTGTGAATTTGGTAATATTTATTTGGAGAATGTAATGTGTTTATTCAACTAAGTTTTTTTTTGTACTTTCTCTTTTTATGATAATATATAGGTTCTGACAAATATCAATCTCATTGATAATATAGAGTATCACAGTAACATGATCTAATCACTAGATGCTTGGACTCAACTTAGTTATTATTTGAAGAAAAATTGCACCCTTACTTCATTTGGAGTAAGAAATTACAATTATCATGGGTCTAAATCAAATAACGTACAACAATCGTAGCAAGTAACAGTTGTGGTAACAGCTGCGCCTCGCGACCAATTCCACTACTTCCGGCGTCCATCCTTCTACAATGCACATAAAAGCCATGTTATTAATCTTATGTAACCAAAAATATGCACAATTTTATTATGATCCACAAATAAATTTCCCGATATATCATACTACTACGTACAATTTATCTACAATTTTATTGTTTCAAAATAAAATACATCAAGTTCTATTGTTTCCTGAGAGAGTATGTTATTAGGAGAAATGGAGAATATTAAGAGCCCGTTTGATAGCATCAAAATCGACTGTTTGGGTGATTCTGCTGAAATTTATGAAGTTCTGGCTGAAATGGCTGCATTGGCTGATTCAGCTGATTTAAGAAAAAAAATTTAAAATATATTTTATTAATAAAAAAAAGAAAAATTACATGTGAAAATAGTTAAAATTGTCATCTACATTAACTTCAGTCAATATAGCCAGAAAAGTAACTTCAACCTTACTTGTTCTGCTTATTACACAATTCAGCGCGCGAAAGCAAAAATTACGTGTCTGGTGAAAAAGCTGGCTGATAAGTCTGATAAGCCGAAAAACAATGTTGCCAAAGGACCTCTAAGTTTTAGCCGCAACTACTTATATGAAGCTTATTTGAAGATGGATCATGAATGTATATAGGTTTTGTAAAAAAAATCTTAAATGTTTTCCTTAATATCTTTTCAATATTTTACATTTCAACGCAAATTTGTAATAAAATGAGGATTTACTAAATTTGGGACACAAAGAGCTCGTTTGGTAACACTAAAATCGGTTGATTGTGCTGAAATTATGAAGTTCTGGCCGAAGTGACTGTATTGGCTGATTATGTTGATTTATGAAAAATGATATTTAAAATATATTTTATTAATAAAATAAAAAAAATATGGAAAAATAGGAAAAATAGTCTTCTGCAGTAACTTCAGCCAATAAAGCCAGAAAAGTAACTCTAACCTTACCTTTTCTTATTATTACACAAATTAGCGCGTGAAATCAAAAGTTACGTGTTTAATTAAAATGTTGACTGATAAGTGTGATAAGTCGAAAAACAGAGTCATCATACGAGCTCTAAAAGAATGTTTGGTGAGAATGAAATTTGCTGATGAAAGTAATATAATTATAGCATCTCCAGCGGTTAGCCACGTAAGCTTTTGTAGCAAAATTGAAATATACTCTAATGGTCAGCTATAATCTTTTTTCTTCATTTATTATTTATAATGCTATATTTAATATTCTCGTTGCTCAAGCTAGTAGCTCATTTGGCCTAATTAGCTTTCTCAAGCAAAAGGACGAGCAATGCTCGTAAATTAGTAGCTTCAAATTGCAAGCAAGTCCCTACAAGGAACTATTGAAGATGCTCTTATTGAAGTGACGTAACTGATTGAGCTGAAATTTGTCAAAATTATACTCTGTATTAATATTGAAACATAAATGCTTAAAATTTGTTCCTTCGTCCCGTCAATGTTAAGATTCTGTGATTCCATCCTAACAGGTCAACCTGATAGGAGTAGCTCAGATATTAATACTTCCTCTGGTTCTGAATCTTCTATACACTTTCCTTTTTGAGCTGTCCCAGAATCATCTTTACACTTCCTTATTTGCTTTATTTGGCAAACAAATCTAGACAAAACAGTGCCAAACAGTGCCAAACAGCATCAAACAATGTACTCTACAGTAAAGTCAAATTTATTTCCTTAAAAACTGTGAAGTCAAACTGTAAAGGAGAATCACAATCGGAGGGAGTATAATGTTTAATTCTTTAAGATATATCCGATGTAAGACTTTAATAGTCAACTCAATAATTTAATTAATATGATAACTCGAAAATATGTATTATCAAAGAGAGCTTAAATTTAGAAAAGGGGCAAATAAGCTCTCGAAAATACTTGTAAATACACCACTCAAGTACTCAACTCATTGAAAATTAAGCAATTAGATCATGTTTTACCCGTTGATGCAGGTAAGGAGAAAAGAAATTACCGACACCAACAGGTAAAACGTATCCGATTCCTTAACTTTCAACGAGTTGAGGGGTGTTTCTGTAAGTCTTTCGGTTCATGGGCCTGATTACAAAATCACAAAAAGTTCGAGGGCTTACTTGCCCCTTTTCTCATATACTACCTCCGTCCCGAAAGGTTTGTCATACTGACTTTTCTTGGTCAATGGTTGCAAACTTTGGACAATGATTTGAATTATTATACTCCGTATTTCTATATAATTTATAAATTTTATACTTTTATGAAAATATTTTGAATAATGAACATTTTGATATAATTTTCATATTCAAAATAATTTCGTATTAAAAAATATCATTGATCAAAGTTAGTTGTCATTAACAAAAAAAGTCAATTTGACAAACCTTTTCAAAAGGGAGAGTAAATTATAGGTAGACGGTGCCACAACGGGCACTAAACAAAGGTAAACAAAGGTGATGCGAGTTGAACAAGCCTAGCATTGAGGCTGCAAGTTGTTGGAATCCGGCCTTATACTCCGTATATAGTTTTGAGTTACAATTATGCTTGTGATGATTGTCTCTTTAGCCTTTACCGCTAATATCTCCTTTAGGAACATACGGAAAGTTATACTCCAACTGGTCGCATATAAGACTTGCTTTACTCGTATTTAGGAATTTAATTAAGTCTAACATTGATAAGTATCATGCAAGTTGCATTGACCGTGTTTAAATAAGTAATTTCTCGAATCATTTGCCTTTTTCCCCTTTCCCGCTATCACTTTTGCTACCTTTGCTGGGTTCTTTACCTCAATTATTGAATGGAATTCGGCAAGTCCAATGAATTACGTACGTGATATAGTCATACATCGCATAATCGTGAGTTCACAATTGTGAAATGAAGGTGAATTATACGAATCAAAAAACAATTCATAGTAACAACAATAATGATAATAACAATATTATTAACACCAATAATCTATTAATAAATCATTAAGATTTACAAAACATATATGACAAAGAAACAATGAGATTGATTAGTAATCTCTAATTTGTGTCTCTACTTACATGATAATTAATTAACCATTTTTGGACGATCAAAAGCCCACACCAAAAAAAGGTGGTTGGGGGGTACGTTTCAGATCAGATGTACTATGTATATCCACTATATAAATATCAGACGTATTTATATATATAGACTAATAGTAATAATTATAAAATAGATATGATCGTGATGCAATATGTGTTTATAGCTAGGAATAGGTGAATGGTTAAACACGTAAATCAACTAACAGGCAGCGGATGGGTGGGTGAATGGGTTGAAGAAATGAGGTTTGGGCGCCATCATCGTAAAAGGGTTGATCTTCTTATTGGGCGTTTCCACGGCTGAGCCGCCGCCGCCGATCCTCTCACACGACGGGCACATGCTCAGCGTCGCCGCCGGAAGCTGCATATACAGCGGCGGCTGCGACACCTTCAACGCTTTCAGCTCTGCCACCTCCTTCTGTAACCTCCGGTTCTCCTCCGTTAACGTCTCGCAGCATTTCTTCAGAAACTCGCAGTCTACTTCCGTTTGCTTCAGCTTTGTTCTGTTAGATATTAATTACAACGCCGTTAATTAACTAATTCCTTAATTAATTACAAAAGGGGCTAGCACAGTGTATGAAATCGAATAGAAATTGAAATTGGAATTAATTAATTAATTACCTGGCACGTCTGTTTTGGAACCAGACTTCAACTTGTCGGGGCCGGAGATTGAGTTCCCTGGCCAGATCTTGCTTTTGTTTCTGAAATTAAATCAAACGAATCAATTAATTTATTAGTTAGATATAAATATAATTATAATTAATTAATCAATTAAAGGTTAATTAGAGGGAGGGACATACAGGATTGAGAGTGCTATGTTGTTTAAAGCTTTCCTCTAAAAGCGCGGACTGCCCCTTGGATAGACGGAGTTTCTTCCTGCCGTTAGCGACGTCGTCATCTTCATCGCTGGCGGCTCTCGGCGAAACTCTCTCTATCTCTCCTTCGTCGCTCTCTCTCTCCCGCTTAACGCTAACGTTGGAGTACGAGGAGGCGGCGCTGTCCTGTCGGTACAAATCAGCGGAGTGGTCAACGGCAGACTTGTTGATGGTCAAACCTGAGACTGCGGCCATCTTAGCGGCGGCGGCCTGCTGGTCGAAGGTTTCACCGGACAGGCTGAGAGTCAAGTCTGGCTCAAATCCTACAGACGCGGCGGCGGCGATTCTAGCCGCCGGTTTCCTTGACGGTTGATCTGGCGAAGAAGACGAAAAGCCTAAACCCAAAACGAGGCCGGTGCTACAAACATCATTAAAACCCATCTAGTCTAGAGATACGTATATTTGTGTGTATTTTGAGGAACAGAGGGAGAGACAGAGAGTGGATTGATTAAGGTTGAGGTGTGAAGTGAAATGGGTTGAGGGATGGCAGATTGGGGGTGAGGGTTATATAGGAAGGAGTAGGTAGTTACTTTTTGGGTTTTATTATTGAATAGGTACTGTTTATGAGTATATTGGTAAGAAGTGTTTGAAGGGTAATGAAAGAAATGACAAGGGAAAGGAGTTGAATTTGAGGTAGACTTATGAGGGGTGGTAGAGGGAGGGGCAGGGTGATGATTTATCTACTTCCTACCAATGATTATTTTTTCATCTCTTTTAAAATTTGGTCAAGTTCAACCAAATAAAATAAAATAAAAATTGTTTAGTTGAGTATTGTGCTGTGATAAAGAGAATTAATATGAATGTAAATTCTTTTATTAAAAGACTGTATCAAAGTTATGAGATAATTAGAAAAAGAAAATTGACAAAACTTTAAAATGAAGTAAATATTGTTATTATTATAGAAATAATATTATTCCGTCTCTTAAAATTTTGTCACCTTTCTTATTTGGGACGTTCAAAAAAATTTATCACTTTTCTTGTTAATCAATTATTTTGTTGTTCTTATTATTTTTCTCTCATTTGCACAAATTTCAACTATACAATAATTTTTATTTTATTATTTTTTGTACATGTCAAACTTGAATAAGTTTTAAGGAATCAAGTTAATAATAATATAATAATAATAATACGAATGATCAAAGGAATGACATGAGCATGGAAACGAATAATAATTTTTTGTGTCTCCCTCCTCCTCATTGGGTTGACTATTTGAGCCCCTCTATCTTCTCCTTGGGACGCAGATGTACAGCACTTTGTACATGATTATATTATCATATTTAATGCAATAGGTTAGACTGTTATATTTCCAACAATATGCTTCGTCACTTTTTGAATACGGAGAATATTATTGAAGAGAAAATCGAGTAACTATGAATTGATTTTTGGAAAAGGTGCAAATAGGTCCGTGTATAAACAAAAAAAGGTCAAATAAACCCTTATTTAATAAAGAACATTTTCATATAACTTTTATATTTTAAATCATTTTCAATAAAAAGATATAGCCGGTCAAAGTTTTGAAAATGACAAAGTTTTTTGGGACGGAGGTAGTATATGGAAATAAAACTGCTTAGAGTGAATAAAAACGTAACTTTGTAACCTTTATTTATTACTCCCTCCGTCCCCTTTTAATGTCACGTTTTACCATATTGTGATGTGCTTATTTAATTGTCTCATATCTTATTTGATAAAGTTTGTGTGACTCAAAATCATTCTTACTTTATTCTTACTTTATCAATTAATATCAACCACACAAACCAACTTTTCTTAAAACTCGTATCACCCTCTTCCGTCCCAATAAAAAACGGACGGAGGTAGTACATAGTATAACCGACAACCGTGTTCAAAATTTACGTCATAGATACGACTCCTTCCGTCCCTTCAAACTTTGTCAAGTTTTACCGGCACGAGGATTAATAAAGTAAAAACTGTGTAATTGAGGTTTGTGTAGAGGAGAGAGAATTAACTGGAACCACAAACTCTTAACTTAAAAGAGAAAGTGGCAAAGTTACTGGGACATCCAAAAGAGGATAATTGACAAAGTTTTAAGGGACAGAGGAAGTATAAAAGTACACATGTAGTCACAACAATGGAAACTCTAAATCTAATTACAGTCAATATAAGTTATTAAATCACATTCTATCCATAAAATTTTAGGCGAAATTGACATCAATAATCCTGGTTTTCACACATTTTATCAAACTAATGCTTATTGTAAAAGTTCACAACAATAATACCTACTAGCTCACTGTTTTGATGGTACTATGGGCTCGACCCATAGCCCAATACGTCAATACTGATGCAACCCAAGAGAAGAATAAGGATTAGCCCAAGAACAGAAAGACCAAGGCCCACACAAGGATGAACCATGTCGGGGGCGACCAGGACAATAGTTCTTGAGCTCGGATGGAGTCCCATTGAGGTTGAATTGGCAGTGACTTGAAGGGACATGGGCATTAAGGAGTCATTTATCACGGGCTTATGAGAGAGACGTTACATATGTCCTCTTATAAACACTTCTTGTACACAAGTTAAAAGAGGCCGCCTCATGAATAATAATAATAATACTGTTTTACACTGCCAAAACATTTACTTTTTTATGTGCACCAAACTCCTTATTTTCTAGCTCTTGTCGTGATTAGCTTTTACAGATGGAATTATCTACTTTAGTGTTAGCTCTTGTAGTATATTCACCCTTAAAAAAATCCAGGATTGACACATATTTGACATGGATTGACCGATGATTTCCTGTCAAAGTGGTTTTGACACGAATTTAGCATATTCCCGCCAAATCCTCTATGAATTTTGGCGGATTCCTGTTAAAATCTCGGTCCATCTCGTATTTTTAATTTGGTAGTGATTTAGTGTTACTAGTAACATCTTGATATTTGAACACAAATATGTATTCATCATTTCTTTGGGTTTTGATAAATCAACTCAAGGAACAACAAGGACTTAGTTTTAGTACTATCACTTCTTGTTAAGACCTAAGTATGTGTATTCATAACATGTTAGAAAAGATGCAAAATATTTTTGAAACCCAAAGTCTCAATTACTTTTTTTTGAAACCAGAACACTTATTAATTAATATCAATGGAAGTGACACGATACAAAGCAAAATCAATAGCTCAGAGCTAACCCCGCATTATGGTAGATTAATCTAACAGTATCGTTGTACCAACTACGAAAATAAATCGATAAAAAACTAGAGCTATTAAACTGGAAAGAACAAATAAAATCATAACTTCTGGTTTTCCCAGCCACCAGTAAGGGAGAGGAGGCTTGATCAACCATCTCCAAAGATGTCTTTTCAATTTTACCAGCCTTTGAGAAGGGAGAAGAGGTTTGTCTAGCCACCTCCAAAGGAAGCATCTTGATTTTACCAGCCATCGATCGGGAATGGAGAAGAGGTTTGACCAACCACCTTCACAGGAATCATCTCGTCTATAAGAATTTTAGGCGGTGCTGTTCCAGGAGAACCGCCACTTTGCTGTTTTTTTATTTCTCCAAGGCACGTGACTCAAACACCAGACCATTGCTCCCTTCATCTTCATTTGACATCCTTCTTTAAACCTGATTTAAGCTCTCCATTAATGACCGTCAAACCAACACCAGATTCGAGACATAGAAGAAGTTGTGAAACACCACGATCACAAGCCAAAACACGTCCATAAACGGAACGGACCAAACCCTAGGCCAGAGAAAACTCAGCTGGACAGAAAAACACTTGAAAAGCTGAAGAACAAGAACTGAACCACATCTAAATTGCATACCAAACTCGTGAAGCCGCTCCAATCTTCTCCGTCGCTAAATGAGATCGGAAGGGAAGGAGATGGCAGGGAGGCGGACGCACTCTCCTACGGTTTTCTCATGAACACCTCTTGAAAGTCCAAGTTAGGTGTTCCTTGAATTTGCCAAATTCACAATTACTTCAAAACACTTCTTGTCAGAATGGTTGTATGGGACTATGGGACTATGGGTACATGTCTCCGAATATGTTTTATTGTTCTTCAACCTTTGAACAAAGGGTCTGCCGAACAGTTTACTTATTAACCGTGTCACTTGACAGTTCAATGCAAAGTGTACGGAGTATAAATTTGAACTCTATTTAAAGGTTTACTACATTTTCCCTTTTTGTTAATTTAAAAATACTCATTTACTCTTACTTTTTCTACTTTTTATCTTCTCTTTCTTACCTTTTCACACTCTCTCCTAATTTTTTAACACTCTTCATTACCCCTTCAATTTCTTCCTTAAATATTGTGTCAAGACCTAATGTAGTGATCTTTTAAATACGGAGTAAATTAACTTATACGTAGGAAAAGTATTTCAAATGTTTTTTTACCCTATTTTTGGAAAATATTTGAACTAAAAATAGTGCTCTTTAAACAATTTTTAAACCTTTTCATCCTCATATTTTAAAGACACCTCAATACTCTTCTTGGTAGGGGTGGGCATAAAACCCGAACCGAACCGGTACCGAACCGTTTGGTAATGATACCGAACCGAATACCGGGTATTTAAATGGTTCTATATATTTTTGTCCCTTACTGAAACCGTACCGTTTGAAACAGGTACGAGATCGGTCCTAGATTTTGAGAACCGAAAAATACCGGACCGAACCGTTTGAAAATAATGCACTTGAATTTTTTATATTTTTTCTATATCAATTCAATAGATCTCTTTTATCGATCAACAATTTTATAGCCCAATTATGTATTTATGCGTCCTTAAAATAGCTAAGGGGTCAGTTCAAGTAAAAAGTAGTCTTCCCATGAAAAGTGAGAATAAATCTTGACCTTTGAACACTTGAAAATAGATGGATGAGATGAACTTTAATCACCATAGACCGTTTCAATAAATGTGCAAATGTTTGTACTATAAAGTGGATAGTTTACTAATTAAAAGTGCACTCATGCGTGTAAAAAAAGATTGTCAAAGTTTGCCAACTACTGCACTTTTTATTTCATACTGTATTGCACTTTTGTACTCTACGTGTTCACTTTTTAACTATTCTGATACACATTTGTCACAAAATTTTCAATAAAAGTTCTCCGTAATTACAAAAATGCCACCGCGTTTCAACCTTAAAATTTAATCTCTTCCATCCATTTTCACATCAATGGCCAAGATTAGTTTTTATTTTTCACCTATGAAGTACTTTTTATTATTTGAGCCAAATTCTATATATATATATGTGTGTGTGTGTGTGTGTAAAATTGACAACCGAAATGCCTAATCATCAATATGTAAAATCTTATTTATCAAATATATAAAACGAATGTGATCAACTACATATATCTGTAAGAAATGAATGCCGCTAGGAATATCTTTGCTAAGAATATATGACTTCATAGTCTTCATGTGAGTCCCTAAAAATATAGTCGCACAAATGAGTTTAATTCAGATAATTAATAAGACGTGGGCTAGTGGACTATGTTGTTATGGTGTCTAAGAAGTTATTCCATTCATCTTATTCTTATCACTCATTACTTATTCTCAGATTTGCAGCAAGCAAATACTGATCTGAAAAATGAGAGAAGTTTATCATTGTTATCATTGGAGGTTCCT